ATCCTTCCCCCCAGTCATTTGAAGCAACCTAGAAAAAAACTACGACTTAAGCAAGTCCCTGTAAGTCCCAGAAGGCCTTCTGAAAGCTTCCCACGTGTGCTCTGGACTAAAGCTCTAGGTATATTCCTTACAGGTCCAGAGTTTAGGGTTTAGGGTTTCCCCCCCCAAAGCCCCTATATATCCCTCTATAGGTCCCCCCGTCACTAGCTCATGTTGGTGGACTGCTGGAAAGCCGGACCGCAACTACAAAAGTATAGTAGGGTATATGTTGGGCCCCAATCAATAATGGCGAATCAAATGGAACAGAATATGGTACATCGGGACATTTAGGGATATTTCCCCAACAATGCAGAAACAAAGGTTTCTAGATCTTGCAAAAACTTGACTCGTTCAAACTCAGGTCAACTCCTCAGTATCCATCCGCAAAGGAATGCCTCAACCATAACAGCAACAACAGGCAAGCTGTCCTTGGAGGAAGGCACAGCATACCCTTCCGCGCATTCGAAGCTTGCGCAAGTCGGGCTACAGCACTGCTTGTCGCTGACGTCCGTGAAATGCAGTTCTGGGCCAACAAGAGATCAGCGCACAAGGGTCCACAAGGGCAAAGCTAACCAGGGGGCGATAGCAGGACGCGCACACAATAGCACACGTTTGTTTTGTTCTCACCCATCGGTGTCTGAGTCGTCTTCGCGGGGTACGGACTTGGAGCTGGCAATCTCCTCTAGCCGAGATAAGATTAGCCTCCGCCTCTGTGTGGGCACAGGGTCCAAACGGAGGTAGCGCTTGTCCTGCTTAAGATGCTCGCAAAGGTCCTGGAAGCCTTCACCTTCTCCTCGTAGAGTCCCCAAGTCACGAGCTGCATCTGCCATCACTTCACTCTGTCGAAGGTAGAGACGAAATGCGTCAGCGGCCTCCATCAGGCGAAGGCGCCGCCAGGTCTCCCAGCGTGTTCTGAGCTCAGTCTCAGGCAGTGGTCGGATAAGCTCCTCACCCAGTTTTGCAGCTACGGCCTGCACGACCGAAGGAAATGGCAGCTCTGGTCCCAACTCATCAATGCAGGAGCGTAGCAGAGCAGAGGAAAAGGCATCTGATCGCCGCTTCATGTCTTCCTGGCAGACCCTGTTGAAGATCTCGTGCAGGTAGGCCTCATCAACATCTTCTGGTAGCTGAGCTCGCTCTTCCTGAAGCACTACTCGGACCTCATCCCAGGTCAGGTCCAAAGGACTCCGGATCTTCCTCTGCAGTAGATCTCGCACCTCCTGTTCCAGCAGATCTTGTCGGCTGCGCTTCCGGTGCTCGACCAGTTCCTGAAGTCGCGCAAGATCCAGCAGGTACATCCAGCACACAAAATGCACTCAGCTTAGCTTGGCACAAGTGGTCCATATGCACCGCCATCCAATACCACTACTGCTCTTGCTGGAAGTTGCTATAGAAGTCATGAGTAACTTACTCTTGGTAGTAGCAGCGACGGTAGCAGTCGCAGCAGAAGCAGTAAAGGGGCCGACATGATGAGGTCGAGTAAGCCTCTGCATTTGGTAGCAGTAGTGCCGCAGTATCAGCACCCGTAACAACAGCAGCAGCTGTAACAAAAGGCTCAGGCGGAGAACTCCTCAGGAGCCGTCCTCTTCGTTGAAATCAGATTTGCTGCGGTAGTCGTGACCGTTCGTGGTCATCGTCGCGGTTGTGGTCGTCGTCCTGGTCGTGGTCGTCATGGTGTTGGTCATGGTTGCCGTTGTGGTTGTGTTGACAGTTGGTCGTGTTTGTCGTGGTCATGGTGGTCGTGGCCGCAGTCGCTTCTATTTATCTTCCTCTTCTGCTCCTTGTGTCTGTCAAAAACGTTACACTTTTTGCTTTTGTTGCAATGGTTGTCGTCCTGTTATTCTCGCCGACGATTTGTGATTGAGTGGCGATGAAGCCGCGGCGGCTGTTGTAGCATAGTGAGTGGTTCTGCCGCCGCCACTGGTGCACTGCTGCTGCTGCTGCTGCTGCTGCTGCTGCTGTTACAATACTAATGTTGTCCTTCAGCCATACCAAAGCACAGGTGAGTGGCCGAGTGGCCTTACCATTCTGCGATGCAAGTAGGCCATGGGGAGTGGATTTAAACAAAAAGAACGTCCAGACGACAAAGACTCAATACTGCGAACTTGGCATCATCCTCTTCATCTGCCTTGGCCTTTCTTGAGGCTGCCAACCTGCTGGAGCATTCCTGCCACATTTGGTTGTACACCTGCTGCCGCAGAGTCTTAGATGCCAGGGACTTCCACCGCAACTCATGTCGCAAACGCTGCTTTACATCCTCGAAGCTTGGCAGCTCGGTACTGTCATCCGGAGGCTGAAAAATCTTCTCCTGCAACAGGGTGCGGAACTCGCGTAACGCCAGCTGTCCTGCGGCGGTCCTCTTTTGCATAAGGGTAGCCACGGCAGCTTCCACCATGTGTGCCCTTTCTGCGAGTGGAGCATTTTGCCAGCAAGCATCTTGTCCAAGATTGCTGGCGGAAATCTTCGCAATGGCCTCCTCAGAGGCTTGCACCTTGTCAAGCAAGCCGTTGGCCTCAGCAGTCTTCAGAAGTTCTTCGAGCGCCGTTCGGTTGTGACGGCGAGCGGCTGCATCAACATGCCTCTTTTCAGACGTCATCTTGTGAAGGATCTTTTGAAAGAGCGGCTTTCTCTGCGACTTCGGCACAGCTGTGAATCGCGGATCGGCCGTCAAACGGGGAAGCCAAGACTCAAACCGGTCTGATGTAGTTAGCTTCTTTTCCTGCAGCATCTTCGTAAACTCCTCAACCTTCAAGTGGGCACGCTCCTGAGCAGTCAATGTCTGCATGCCCTCCGGATGAGATTCATCGGAGCTGGAGGAGCTGGACAAGGAACATACTTCACCTGCTTCAGCCGTTTCAGCCGTATCAGCATGCTCCAACTGACCTGCGCCTTCCTCACCCTCATCGCCTTGCTTTTTCTCAGCTTCCTTTGGAGCTTCCTTCATCTCCATCTTCCCTGCAGGAATTATGCGGTCCAATGGTCCAGTAGGGATTGTCCATCTTGACTCCTTCGTTGCAGGATTGTAGTAAAACGGGACACCATAGGGTGAAGGATGCGCTTGCCACACGCGCTGTGTGGCTGGGCTGGCTGACGCCCCATCGGCCAAGTCTTCCATGCTGGATCAAAACTTAGGATGCGAATGAAAGAGGTGCAAAGCATCTGGCTGTGTTAATCACACGACTGATGTTGGCCTGTGGTACTTACGGCATTGGTTGCCCTGAGGATACTGGCCACCTTGAAACGTGGTGGCGCTTTTAGCCAAAGTGCTGCCAGCGGGAGTTTGGCTGAAGCTGGCTACGGCCCTGACCCCAACGAACCTGAAGTAGCAGGTCAAGCCCTAAAGACGCTACAAGTTATTCTCTTACCGTTATTACTGCCGTGAACTGCTTTCATTATAGTACTACTACTACTAGAAGCGTTTTCGACTCGTATTGTATGTTCATTACTACTGTTGCATTATTTGTGCGACTGTTGGTGCTATGAACTTTCTGCAGCTGCGGCACTCTTCGGGTCCACTGCCAGTCCCTGCCTAGGTGTGAAAAACATCGGAGAAAGAAACCAGAGCTTTGCTCTGTCAGCTAGCACTTTCACAGTAAGAAGAATAGTAAAAGCAATACTGGTAGCAGTCATAATCCTACTGCTACGACACATAAGAGTGATAGAGCAACAACGTCTATCTATAGCCCCAATATAGTGTTACAGTACAGTAATAGTAGCTTACAGTAGCTTCCATTTTCTTGTCCATGATCCATCTATAACCCCGATAACTGCAATAATTTTGAATTCCTGCTTGCCCGTCCGTGCCAGGCTTCGACTCATCGCAGGTGTGCGTTGCGCAGGTTGCTTCGCAGCAGGTGCTTTGTGCCGCATCCTTGGCGAAGAGCTTGTCCTCAGCGCAAATGAGGGTTTTCCAAAATTGGAGGGTCCCTTTTTGGAGGCGTCCATGATAAGAGCGACCATGTTGGGATCCTCCCAAATAAGGAAACTACCAAGGCTCATCCAAACTAGCCTGCGCCTTCCTGGCAAAAAGCCCAGCTTGCCTCAAACAATCAAGTCACGTTAGACTTGCTTGCCCCTCAAACAAGACGTGCTTGCCCTTCAAACCTGTGTCTGCTGCCACAGTGGCCACATTCCCCTTGATCTTCACGTAGTTCGGCAAACATGTCACGTTAAAGCACGTTGGAGCGCAGCACTCCTGCATGCAGGACTTATGGATCATCAAATGTCCGTGCTCAATGTTCACCTCAACCGCGGGCAAATTGCAAAATCCAGACTGAACGCAAGTAGCATCCCCGCACATTTGTTGAAGGACGTAGAAGTTGGAAACGAAATCTTGTTAAAATTCGAAACACTTTCTAAGAGCTCCGAGGGTGAACTCTGGAACTGGCGCGGGCTGGAGCTGATACGCCATTACTATCATCTCTTAGATACGTGGGCCATTGTCTAAACTCCTAGTATCCCCCTTAATAACCCCTATAGTAGTTCCCTGTATAATCCCGAATATAATGCCCTTTAAGGAGTTTAGACTATGGCTCAGGTAGCATTGCCATGACTACTTTCGCTCTCTCTCGCGGGCTATTACAGTTCTTACTGGTACTTAAGTATTACGGAGGCTTGGGCTCACATCCCGGCGGAATGAAGTTCTTAATGTCAGCTGAACAATTACCACGATAGGACTTCAACCCAGTTCACACTTCACCATGCCTTGATCATAGGCCAACGGTTGGGTTCCACACAATTTCACGAATAATAGCAATAATCATCATAATAAGCTGTTCATAATACTGAGGAGAATAAAGATAAGAGTCACAATTATTAATAGTTACAATGCTGATAACAAGAGATATCATAGTAATACAGACAACAGGAAGTCAAAATTGTAATTAGTGATAGTCATGGTAGTCGCTCTGAGGTAGTAATCATAATAATAGCAATAATAGAAATTAATATTGATTGTAATAGGAAAAATATGGAAGAATCATGATAGCAATAATAAAATGTACCGTAGTGGTAATCGCAGTAGTAAAAATCGTCGTACTAATGATCGTAACGAGCAACAATAACAACAGCAATAATAATAGTGGAGATTAGTCACATTAGTTATAATAGTACTTCTACATGACCATAGCAATTACCTTCAAAATCGTAATAGTAACAGTAGCTATAGAAATAATAGTATTACTTTTGTTGGTACTGGTATTGATATGACTGATTACTAAGTGATCAGTAAGATCAATACTAATGCCAACTAGTCATAGTAGGAACACAAATATTAGTAATGAAGCAATAGTAATCATGGGTTTCCCTACTACCTCCCCCCCCGATAATCCTCTATACTACCCCCCCACTTCACTAAGATTATTTAGGGATCATTAGGTCCAATTAAGGTTAATTATGGGGGAACCTAGGGCGGGGTAGTATCTAGGGGGGTAGTAGGGTAACCCATGAAGCAATAATTCTGTAATAATACTAAACCCTGAACCCGTAGGGGAACCCATGAAGTCCTAATACTAAACCCTAAACCCTAATAGGGGAACCCATGAAGTAATAATACCAACCCTAAACCATAAAAGCGGAACCCATGAAGTAATACTACTAAACCCTAAACCCTAATGAGAGGAACCCATGAAGTAATAATACTAAACCCTCAACCCTAATGAGAGGCACCCATGAAGTAATAATACTACTGTTGATACTAAAAATCCTGCATGACCCTAGTATACTATAATACCATTCTTCCCTATGTATAAGGTACTTAGAGTCATGCAGAATTTCTAGTATCCACCGTAACAAACCCTAAACCCTCAACCCTGTTTGTGCAGAGGGCCTCCTCGGTCAGGCCCGCAAGCTTCGACTTCTCTGCAGACACCTTGCAGCCCGAAGCCCGCTTTGGAGAACTAATATAATCCCAATAGAGCCCTAGTAGCCCTAGTATAACCCTAACAAAACCCCAACATTACCCGAATACAACCCCAATAGAACCCAAATATAACCCCAACATTACCCCAATGTAATCCCAATATTACCCCAGTATAACCTCAATATAACCCGCAATATTACCCTAATATAACCCCAACATTACCCTAGTAATACCCTGATATAACCCCAATATTACCCTAATGGGCGGCACTTCAAAGGCCTCCCAAATCATCTATGCATTTTCAATAGAGAAATTACAAATAATTCAAGGCCCCAGAATTATCTATGAATAGGGTCCCTTCTCACCACAATTGGGGGGGAAATTGTTATCCCAAAATGCCGCCTGGATAAGGATGCAGGAAATCTGTTCAAACCCTAAACCCTAAACCCTAAGAAGCCACCTTGAAGTGGGCTGGACAGGAGAAGCCGGCACAAGTCTTGTCGCAGCAATGCCTAGGTATCCAATGCATGTGAGTAGCGTTTTTTTGGGTGGTTGAACCTAGTAAGATTGTATTCCTCATGTAAAATATTATACCCCAAAAGGAGGATAGAATCTTACTCTATATTGGGTACCATAGCATCCCCGAATAAAATACTACTCATGTGGCGCTTCCCCTGGTATAGCAATGATGGGTGAAGAATCAGCCGTCCCAAACCCCTAAATCCCTAAACCCCTGTAGCTTCCATGTTCTTTTCCATTATCCTTATATAACCCTATATATATACATATACCCCAAATATACACCAGAATCCCTATAGTTGCCATTTTCTTTTCCATTATAACCCTACATTATACCCCTATATTCCCTTCCTGAACCCAAGGAGTTTGTAGTTTCAATCCCAAACCCCAAACCCTACACCCTGTATAACCCCAATATACGAATAGCAGTTTCAACCCTAAGCGTTTTTGATTTGCCATGCGGCTCATCGGAGCTGCCAACATTCCCGGCGTACCTGGCGTCAGCCACCTCGGGTCTGGTGGTGTCTCATGCCTCTATAGTAGTTTCCATTATATTTTCCACTATCCCTAGTGTAATATAGTAGTTTCCATTTTGTGTTCCATTATCCCTATATAACCCGAATGTGGTGTCTTCTGCCTCTCTTGTGCACCGAGGCTGGCATGTTTGGAGCCACCAGAAGTTCGTCCATTCTTTCTATTAATGGGCAAACCGCCAAGCACAGTGACGCGCCCGGGTTCCGTTCACAGGACTGCCTTTGAATTCCTTAAGGTCTGACATCGCCGGCACAAGGGTTTATGGCTGACAGGTGGGGAAGCAGCAATGGCGCGAGCAGGTACATGAGCAAATACGCATGGCGGTTCCTTTGCTTTGCTTTGCCTTGCTCAGTGGTATGGTGGTTTCCCACCAGGCCTGTAGGCCCACCCTGCATTGATTTGATTCTGAGTCCTGCGTGAGACACTGGTTTTGTCATTGGTTCCCCAAACATAATGATGGCAAAGTCGATGGGAAAGCAAAACAACAACAGGAGTCGATAAGGATTAGGACACATGATCATGTTGGCTCCTGAGTCTTAGTGACAAATCAGTGTACGCAGGCATGCGTGGCAGTTGGTCTGATTAAAGTCTCTTCTTCTTATTCTTTTTCTTCCTGTCTCCTCAACTCCCCGCAATGCTTGCAGAAAGGTCGCATAACCGGGACCGCAGCTCCAAAGCGCGCACGTTTTCCGGCAGCATTGCGCGTCGCTGGAGCCTGTGGTCTCAATCCCATGAGATGTGCTAGCGAGAGCCGCAAGAGAAGCTGTACTGTACTCGTTTCGATGGGTCTATGTGCTGGTGGGATTATCTCACTTGGCTAGAAAAAGTTCCGACATGCCGTGTGCAACAGAGCCACGGAAATTTTCAACTTATGACTCTTATGACATGAAGCATGTTGACGCAGGCTCAATGCCCAAATGCAGCGGCACCGAACGCCTGCCTTGCAGCTCATGATGGTCTGTCTTTGGCACCCAGCCGTCGCCTGGGATCAAGATTTCCGGAATACTCAAGCTCAAGTGTGTGTGTGTGTGTACTAGCCTTTCATATGAGAAGCAGCCAAGCAGAACTGAGGCCCAACTGCACATATGCCTGGTACAGTCTCCCGCGTCGAGGAAGTCCACCTTTTCTCAGTTCAGAGACAGCTTGTTTTGCGGAAAATCATCCCACAAAGGCTGGGAACGGATCTAGTAGGAAGAGTGCACGGAAGTACGCGTACCATTGAAGTGAACTTCTTTGGTGCGAGAAGGGGTAGTGACTTTAGCCAGGCATGCTCAATAACGCCAGCTTGCATAGCTTGAATGGAAACATTTGCAAGGAGGATTCCGGTGTTACGTGCGATTTGAAGAGCTAAAGGTTTATGGAACTGAAACAAGGAACTCAGGCTTTGTGCAATTCTACGGCTTAGGCAGGGCTGACTATCTAGCACTTGTTCAGGCCTTTCTCAGTATAATTTAGAAGCCTCGTTCTACAGTTCCTGCTTACGCCTGAAACTTGCCAGCCAGGTATTGCGGTTCAGGAATTGAGTCTCGAAAAAGGCCACTGGGGCATTGCAGAGCATCTGGGTTTACACAAGGACAAGGATAAGGGAGAGGAGGAAGACGACGGTGATGACGATGACTAAGACCTCGGCAGCAGCGCCAGCGCCACCGCCCCCGCCACAACCAGCATCGGCACCATCACCAAAAAAGGAGGAGAGCCAGAAGAGGAACAACAGCAGTGACCATCAACAAACACTTCAGCAGCAACAACAGAACGAAGAACGAAGACAGGCAACAATTATTGACGCCTCTCCCGCCAGTAATTACCGGCACCAAGAGCAGCAACAGCTCCAGCACCAATCCTCTCAGTCCTAGCGCAGCACTTACGAGTCTTCTTCATACGTAGGCCGTACGCGCTTCAAAGGGAACTTGTAGGGGTTGAACCTCTTGGTCCGCACACGGTCCTTCTGATCAGGCTGAGAGGTGAGGAAGAGTTAATCAAGGATGACCAAACCTATAATAGTAATAATAATATAATAGTAATAGTAATAGTAATAATAATATAATAGGATTAGTAATAGTAATAGTAATAAAAAATATAATAGCAATAGTAATAGTAACCTGATGCGCCCGCCCCGCCGTCTTCTTCCTCTTCTTCTCCTCTAAGCCGCTGCCGACACCTACCTGCATAGTTGTTCGGTCATCCCAATCCTCTCATCTGGAACCTGTACCGAAAATCTTCATTGGTCGCCATTCACTGACCTCATCAGCTTCGTCCCTTTACTACCCCACGGCTCTTAAGAGTTTATCTCCCTATCTCTCTCCCACATGTACGCTCTGTCAGTGAAGGCCATTGCAATGTTGAATCACTGGGGTGCTATGGCAGGCTGGTTCATTCAGAGGCTTTAACGCAAAGCTCCCTGAAGAAGTGGCATGAGCCCGTCCCTCACCGCCTGCTGCCCATCGAAACCTCAAGTCACATGTCACATGCAAAATCATGCAGCACATGTTGAGCTGAGCTTTTGCTCTGTATGCTTGGCTGTGCACATTGAAGGCATGCCCTGAATCCTAAACCCTACGAAGCCCGCTAGAAGGACATTGATTCCCAAAACCAAGCGGCTGCTGGAGGTCATGAGGCCCGCTTTCAAGGCCTGGCAGTGAGTGTGAGGTCTCTATAACATAGTAGCATACTAATACCTTATACAGTCATGTACTCATAGACTATGATATCTATACAGTTATACAGTAACATACAGTAACATGGTGATATAGTTTTGTATCACAGAAGCCTCACTGACTTGAATGGAGCTGGCCTATGCGTGTTTGCTGCTGTATTCCGACTTTCAGCATCAAGTATTCTATAGGGGGTTATAGAGGGTATACAAAGTTCAGGCACATTACCAAACGGAGAAGCAAACGGAAGAGAAAATGGAAAATTAATTGGACACTGGTGGTGCATATATCTACATAATATCAGGCCGCTGCGGCCTCGGCGCCGCAAAGAAACAGGCCGAAAACAGCCTCAGAACAACCATTAGGGTTTTTAGGGTTTAGGGTTTAGGGTATCATTGTCTTTTAAACGTGCAATTCCAACCGTAGCTCACTGAGCAAGCCACGCTCTTCATTGACCGGGACATAAGGGCAGGAAGTGGTCGAACTGCCCTCCACACAACGTGAGCATTTAGGGGTTGCAAGCACTGCACGTGACCCCTTTAGGATGTGAGCCATGGTCTAAACTCCTAGTATCCCCACTTAATAAGCCCGATAATATTCCCTTATATGATACACTATATAACCCCCTTTAAGGAGTTTAGACTACAGCTCATGTGCTAAGTTCAGGCAACATCGTGCGCAATCTTACAGCCTTGCCTTATTGGCTTCGTTCGGGTCGAATTGACGGTGAACGATAGACTTGGGCCGAAAAGCAGGAATCTCTTTTGAGTGCACATCATGCAGGAGCGCGTCAAATCTGTGGCACCTGATCTAGTCAAAGCAAGATCCTGCGACGTCCTAGGTCCCAGGCAAAACGCAACATGGTAGTTTCCCAAAATAGAGAAATCCCAATATAGACCCCAAAATACTACAATCCTAATTAATTATTGGGACCCCCAAAAAAGGTAATTACCCCTAATTCTGGGAAACCTCTATAACAAGTGCTCAATGCCTACACATCACCGGCCCTGCCTGGGTTTCTCGCCTTAGCAGCAGACAAGGGCGCAGGCTTCAAAAGCTAAACTGGGGTGGATACTAAAAATCCTGCATGACCCAAAGTACCTTATACCTTGGGAACTATGGTATTCTAGTACATTAGGGTCATGCAGGATTTTTCGTATCAACAGTGCCACTGGGCGCCATGGGTCTCAAAGAAATGAAAGGGGATGACACAGGCTTTGGTAAACAACTGCGGTCTCCCAAACATCCGCTTTTTCTGGCAAAATGAATGCTTATAGAGGTTGCAGGAATAACGTAGAATCCTGAACCGTCACCGTGGTTTCCTATTATAAGCCTTCCACGACTATGAATTAATGTATCCCTACATTACCTAGAAGGTCCTCTGTTACACCATAAGTTCATAGAAGCACTTGTGCTCCACCATTGGTTTCCAACTTGAGTAGTACCCCATAATACCCCATATATACAGCAAGAACATATTCTCCATTCGGGTGTAGTTTGGTCCACGACAATGGCAACTGGTACATGCAGGGCCAGATGCAACCCCAATGTCAGCAATCAGATTTTCTGCCTTGCGCCGATCCGGTTTTCACTGCCTCACGCCATCAAGTCAGCGGCAGTGCCAAGGCGTAAAGCTGACAGTCGCCCAGCAAACCTTGGGAGGGATGAAGGATTCTGTGCGGCAAGGCAATACTTTAGGAGGACCCCCCACCCTGTAATAGTGGTATAATAGAAATATGAAATGACCTTAATATAGTCTTGAATATCCCTTATAGTCACTATTACTGGGTGGGGGGTCCACCTAAGCAATACTGCTGTAGTTCGTGGCATTATGACAGACACACGCTGCGCTCCGCTCTGGGATGAACCCTGTGTCTTGTAAGATCTATGACTGCTGGGGTATTTAAATCTGACCCCTCGTCATCCCTCTTCCATTATGTTGCATGGGTTTCAAATGTGACAGTCACGGATCTGAATCCCAGAGGTGCGCCGCCATCCACTGACAATTGCAGTCATGGGTCGTGCAGAATGGTCGAATTGCAGGCCCTTCTCCTCAGGATCACGGTGGCTTATATGCCCGAGAATTGTCCCACAGAACCTTCTAGGTGAGCTTTGCATTACGACGTGGCAGGAACTGCTGCACGGAAACGTCTAGTCTAGGTTGGCGGTCGCAGCTGGTGCTGAGAATGACGGTGCTGTTACATGCAGCCTGTGGGAATCCAACCATTGCCTAGGCACACAGGCGCCAACAGCCTCGCAGAACGTGATGGAGTTTGCAGGCAGCTGCTGCTGCCTCATCTCCTAGCACATGGTGTTCTGGGCTGGTCGTGTCTTACTTCTGCAGGTCATTCTGGTTCTGACGACCAAAACTCCGCCTTCATCCGTAAATGCAAAGGATGAACATCTTTCAGCCTGGTAAGGTTCAGTATCCCCTCAGGCGCAGGTCGCCGCTCTTGTGGCATCCCGTGTGACTTCGAGCAAACACAGTGCGAGATTGCATGCTGACGTGAAGAACCAGATCACCATCCCGTTTTGTTAGAGACCTGTGCAATCAGCAGGAAATATGCCGGTGTCCGCCCCAAACAGTGGTTGGCATGCTGAATCAGTGCTTGTTTAAATTTGAACCACTTCCATGAGAAATCTCGAAAGCAAAGCACGGCCCAGAGGATGGCTCGAGGAGGAATTTCACGTACCGCACTTGTACTACAAAAAGCACGAGCTTCGAAGCCTTAGCTCAGAGAGGCATCGGGAAACGATTTCGCCTACTACTTGCGCTGCGAAAGCACCAGTTTCTGACGTCAATTTTAAGAATCGCGAGCCCATGAGTCAAAAGAAACGACGTTTTCGCGTTTCTTGAGCTCGCCAGTCCAAGCCATTCCAAATCGCAAAGATGAGGCTCCAAAAGCGACAACAGTTGTGCACTTCGCGAAAACGAGTCTCCAAAGGCGATGACAGTTCAGGTTGCGCTATCGGCAGCATCTTGAAGTCTTGGCGCACCCGTGCAAAAGGGTCGTTTGCGGCGGGACTTTTGCTTGCTCTGTCAGACTGCTGAATTTTGAACAATGCTGTGCGTCCTCAAAGAGACTGAGAGCTTGCTCCCAGCGCGCGTCATCTTCGCAAGCCCTGATGGCCGCGCTGAAGGATATCCTTAGCTGAGCAAATCGGCAGAGTCTGTACTGCACCGACTTGCGCTCTCACTTTTTGGTCATGCCACTATCCAGCTGCACAGCAGGGTGCTCAATTGGCGTGGCGAAGTATGCGAAGTTCCGCCGCACGGGCAGGAATCAAGAAGGTAGCACATAAGGCAGTACACTTGACGGCAAGCTGAGCATCACATCTGCGTGGTAGCCACCCTGGTGCAGAGCATCGAGCAGCCAAAGAGCATGCCGCCATTGCTTGCCTCATGATAAATGGGGATTTCCCAATATTAGGGGAACCATTTTGGGGGTCCCAATAATAAGGACTGTAGTATTTGGGGTCTATATTGGGGTCCCTCTATTTTGGGAAACTACCAAATACTCTAGCTCCCCGGGACCATCGCGAATGGAAGAACAACATGGTTTGTACAGAATCTAGATCCACAATGGAAGGGTCTACTGAGGGAGACACATCCACACAAATGTAGCGTCAGACTCTGCGCCTGCGAATTCACAACTGTTGTGCTGCACCTTTCAGATCCGCAGCCAAGGCACCCTTCTCGCAAGCAGAGATGGCTGCATTGCATGTCAGGACATTGATGGGGATCCGGCGGGCGGCCAGGTCCTATGAAAAATGGCAGGTTTGTGAGCAGGACTCACCCCGAAAACTCATCTGAAGCTCCCGTGATTACAGCGCGTAAGCCCCTCACTACTTGAACATGATGAAAACATCTCTAGAAGGAAGCCTTGTGTGTGCGGCTCCTCCAGCAAACACAATGCAGCCTGCCACTGGCCACCTTTCACTGCTTGACAGGAGGAAGCTTTGCATCTTTGCTTTGGCCTTTCCCCTGACAATGCTGACTGAGACCTAGGTCAGGTTGCGTTGAAGTACCACAGAGGAACATGCGTGGATGGCAGGCGTAATCAACATCTACAGGAACCAGAGGCAAAAGAGCACCAAAGCAGCCCTGCCGAGGCCTTTTTCGCAGGCCGTCACGGCGGCGCCAAAGGTCACAATGTTCGGCAGCATCTTCTGTCTTTGGAGCTCTGCGAACAGGTGCAGTGCCTCGCGAACGTTTGAAGATGCGCACTGTCGCAAGGAATTCTTGCGCCATCGAGAGCACGCAGGGGGGTCGAAGAAAGTTTATCCATGCGACTAAATACCAACAAAAAGACAGCGCCACACCGCTGACGGCACACGGCGCAACAGCGTGGCTGATTTCAGGATAATGGGCAAATCATGGCAGACCTATGAGACGGTCAGAGCGGTTGGGACCGCGGCTTGCGCTTCACTGCTCCATCCAGAAGACAACAAGGATTGTTTGCAACAAAATTGGCTGAGCCCACAAGCCTTCCTTCCAGATGCAAGCAGTTGGCAAGTCGTAGAACTGAGATTAGCCATAAAAGGTGCACAGGCGAGCGCCGAGCTACATGTCTTCCAATCTTTCAACATATATGGGAAATATGCCCGGCCAGCTACGAAGTGGAAGCTTATGCAGCCATGCGGTGGGCAAGAACATAGTTTCAACGCTTCTCTTCGACAACTCCCCTCCCTTCCGGAGCTGCACGTTTCTACCAACTTGAAGCAACTAAGCACCCCAGCAGGCCTGCTCCCACTGCGGATCCCATCTCTCGCCGTCACCGAAGGCGCTGATTGCCTCAACTGGGCTTATCAGGCTTTAATCTGTGTGACGCGTCAGGTGCCTCTCTGCGCAATGATGCCATGAAAAGCCAGATGCATCTGGCCATGGATAGGCCTGCTACATTCAGCCTGGCTGCTGCTGAGTAGGTGTAGATGTCTGGCTGCAGGGACAGCTCCGGTAAGAGGTCCAAGAAGGCCACGGAATATTCCCACTGGCCAGCGATTCCGCAGGCACTCACAGCCGCATTATAGGCTACCTTGCATGGAGACTCACCAAACAGTTGAGCACACGTCCTTGCTCTGTTTTTCGTTTTGCTTGGGGCTTGCACTCCAAACTACTTCTTTGACACGGCTGCCTGTGCCGACTTCCTCCCCGAATTCTGCTTTGATCATCGTGTCTACCCACTTCCACTTCCATCGTTGCAGGACAGGCAGCGATGTTCCGTTGAAGCCGCAAGCTGTTGATGTCTTCAAGAAGTTGCAGAGCGTGGCACCATTCTCCGCCTTCATTTGACCAGGTCCGTAGATGTGTGGCTACAGGGTACTCTTGCTTTCAGGAATGAAATGCAATGCCAATTGACAACCGCTTTCCAGGTCTGCCTTCTTCACACGCAGAGATGGCTGCACTCAGAGTCACGATGCTGACTTCCAGCGCCAGTTCCTGGCATCAGGCTCACAGGACCCGCACTATCCTACCGTTCGATGGTGGCGAAAGCGGGCCAGGAGTAGAAGCAGAAAGATTTTGCAACAGCTTTAGTAACAGAGCAAGGCCAAGATGACTTCCGGAACAATAAAAAGTTGCAAAAGTTTTATTAAGGAAGGCACCAATTCAGCAAATCATATTTCGCAGAAAAAACCCAACAGTCTTCGTAAAGAGCCTAATGAACCCTACTTTCTTGGCAGGAATATTGACGCAGATCTAGTGAAAAAATGAATTCGAAATAGTCTTTGAGATTCGCGGAAAGCCTCTTTCTCAGAAATATTCCACGAGCCCTAGTAAAGGTCAAAATGCAGCTTGCTGTCTGAACAAGAACTTTGAAAGACTTTTCGGAAAGAACAATCTAAACCAAGTCTTTCAGATTCTCTGAGATTTCTGGAATTTTCCCTAAACCCTAAACCCTTTCATGATTGCGGGTCCATTATTATAGTGGATGCCGGGAGCCTGGAGCCCTGATACTACCCCCTTTGGCGGTTTTGATTGGCAGTTGGTTTCATAAGGTCTTGCGGCAAGAGATCTATCTAGACCCGTTTTGGCTTTAAAACCCTTTATAACCCCACATAACCTATATGATCTTTGGAGAGATTCCAGAAATCCGAGCCTCAGATGCAGAACAGAGATTCTGCAGTGAGCAGCCTCCAAGTTCGATCCCTTAAGCTGTCTAAGTGCCCCGTGTCAAAAACAGCTTACGCAGGCTCTAAAATCAATCTCTTATAGCTTCCCGGCTTTAAAATTGCCGGTATAGCGAGTGATCATTGTCTTCCGGCAGCGGGATTTTGTAATTGCCACCAATGTGAGGTCCACATTAAAACATGATGCACGTGAACTGACATCTCCACAGAGTGCACTTCTGAGTGTCTGAGCGCAATTCATTTGCTTGGACATGGTTTGAGCGTTCCATGCGTAGGCAAAGCAGCGGCTAGGTGGGAAGACTTACATCCTTTGACCATGTATCCCCGCACTGAGAAATGCCAAATGATACGGATAGATAAAGCCCTAACACACTTGGTGTGTTACAGTACTTCACTACGACGCGTCGCCTGTACATCCTGCAAGAAGCACAGAGCCCTTTGCCACTGCCGGCCCTGGCCACAGGCACCTGCAAGAGGGTCTGGGATTCAGGTTTTGGGGTAGTTGGAAAATTTGCAGCCACAACACCCTGACTGACTGAGGGTTTCACTAATGATGGCGTTGCAAGTGATGATGCTTGCCTGCGCTGCACAAGACTGGAAAACACGACTGGGCAGTGGATATCGCTCCTGCAAGCGGTTTCGCCGGAGATCACACAGAAGCCCAGCAGCAAGCTGCCATTTCCTTGGCTTATGGCATACTCTGTTTGAAAGGCATCTGACAAGAAAAAGTGCTCCTATGGAAATCGTGACCCCAGCGCTCACAGGGATGCAAAGCTATGGAGGGTCCCGGCACCCAACTCTGCTGTAGCAGCCTGGTCTCTCGCACTTCCCGCAAGCACTGATGGCAGCATTGTAAGAGATGACCTTACGTGCTGCTGCGGCATGTCAGTGTGCTTGACACATATGACAGAGTCGCAGAAACTCTGTTGCGCAAAGTTCACCATAGCTTGATACAGTAGAACCCCAATGCGGAAACCTGACTCGATAGGCAAAGGTTCTATGGGTTCTATGCTGCGATCTTGCGCTGATGGTCGTGGCTTGAGATGATCCAGGAGGGTTCTAGAGTGTAGAGTGCCTGTATATCCTCTACAATGCTCCCTGTTAAGGGCCCCATAACCCCTAGAATGATGCTTTTGTTGCCTCTTCCGCCCCCTCGTGAACGTTGGATTGCTGTAGGCTCTTGGCTCTCTTCTCGCAGGGTGGCACTTTCGCAACGAGGGGTCTGGGTCTGGGGGTATAGTCCCCCTTAAGTAGATAGAATATGGGGTATATGGGGATCTCAATATACTATACCCACAGCCATATATATTCTATCTCCTTAAAGGGGACTATATCCAGTGATGCAACTATCTGTGGCTTTCAGCATTCTTTTAACAAGATATCGTCGAAACCCACGCCTGCTGCTGTGACCCTACTGCCCAGCACAGTCAGGGCCTCATGAAGCCAGCCAACCATCTTGACACTGACATCTTCTCACATTGCTCAGCCAGATTAATCCTTCTGCTGATCGCGCACGACTACCACGTTTAAGGAAGGAGGCATCTGCTTCAAGTCCAGCTTGACAAAGGTTGGAGAGCAGCGACAAGGCCTTCAGTGAAAACAACCCATCAGAAGAGCTTAAAAGCTGACTCACCTAGTGGCTTTAGCATTCTTGCCATTCTTGCGCCCAAAGTCTTGGCCTGCAACCACTGTTCGCCTTTCTCACATGCACTCATGGCGGCATTGAAGATGATGACATCCTCAGAGCTTGGCTTATGCTCTTCAGAGGCACAAACGTGTCAAAGATTGCTACGCCTCTAAGAAGCCAGAACATCTTCGGGGCTTCCTTCCACGCCGGCCGAGGCCGTTACATTACTGGCAAGGCTTTCTGATAGATATAGGCTCTAAAAGGCAATGCGACTCATAAACACGTGCATGACTTGCGCCTTGCTTAGGGAGCACCGCCATACAGATTCAATGCCTGGTGTCCGGTGGTATTCCTTCGTTAGCGAGGTCTTGCAGCAGTTGTAAGGCAGTCTGCCAGGCCCCGCCTGTACCAGGGAAAAAAAATTAGTCTGCATGAGCCTGCTCTGCTTCCGGTACAAACCACCATGCTGACATTAAAGTGATCCAACGCGGCTGGAATCCAGCGACCCCAACCATGGCAAGCACGAACTGTCGCTCAAGCAATGCGCATCGGCCTTTCTCACATGCACTAACAGCGCCGCTGATGAGAATGATGTTCGCATCCAGGCTGTCTTCCCGCAGGTCAGCTAGCAGCTGAACCGCCTGCACTATGGAGGACGCATGTTGAAAAGATCCAGCAACTTGCAGTGGCATGGAAGCTCTTGAACCCTCGACCCTAACCTCTAAACTTTAAATGGAGAGTTTGGGAGTTTGGGACACATTGGGATCATATTAGGGTTATATTGGGGCTATATTGGGATAATGGAAAAGAAAATGGGAGCTACTGGGAGTTTGGGACACGTGTGCTCTCTTGTCCTCGTCCAGGCCGTGGCCATGCTGACAGCGATCATTTCAAGAAACCTCTCTTTGGGCAAAAGAGTAATGATAGTCATAGTACTGATCGTAAGGCTAATAATAACAGTATCATTGAAATAATCGTAAACCGCAATATTTTTCCCCCTCCAGCGTAGCTGAAGCAACTCTACCGCAATAATGGGTTTTATGGTATGGGGGTAACACTCTAGGCCCACCTAACAAGTGCGAGCAGAATCGCCGTGGGCAAGTACAATGCAGAAGACAAATGCTCGCCGCCGGGAGAATCTAAAGAAGAATAGGCAAAGTGGTATCTCCTGTGTGGTCGTGACACCCTATGTGTGGGTACCTTACAAGGTTTTGGAGATCTGTGAAGAGCCTCGGGATCTTTAAAGAGGTTGTGCGAATAGAAACACGAAACGCAATGCGATGTTTTTTTTTGGTTCCATTGTTTTATTCTAGTGCTTTTCAAGTGGTTCGGTCTGAGGGGTCCATGAAAATCCTTGGCATTAAGTACCAAAAGGTGCTATGGGACCGTTCCGAAGATCCATCGGTTCAGTGATTGTGCTGGTTCTTTTTTTGTTTGCCACGCGCATCGCAAGCTTTAGTTCAGTACTTACGGAGCGACGGAGCTACTGTTGGACACCCCGATTCTTCCTTGAGTGGAGGTGGCGGGCCCGCTTGAGTACACTGTTGCGGCACGGGTTGCGGACGAGTGGCGAAGTTGAACTGAGAACCCTGGCGCGTCTGCTTGCATTGCTACCCACGGCTTTCCTTCATGAAGTGCCCAGGGCTTGGTGTTACTGGAAGGACATCTGCCGGGACACGCAGCTGCAGGCAGAGACAACACCTCAGGAAGTGCGTAGGCGGAGGCACTTCAGAACGAGCAGGCAGGACGGCAAGAAGTCTTAGTTCCAGCGCACAGCACAGGTGACGAGGTGGTGCATGCAAACATGTCTCAACTTGGAAACGGGAGCCAAGTTGTGACCTCGGACATTGCTTCTTTTCAAGTTTGTAGCATGGTTGCCTATGCAGCACTTATTCATGAATGCGCAATTACCAAGAAATGTGGATTCTTGCAATATTGCATCTGCACTGGTGGAAGCTACAGCTGAGAGAGTCAGCCATAAGAACAGACTGTTGGCAGCCGTCAGGGTGGCGAAGAGATTTATTTAGGGTTAATGAAGGGCCTTGACGAATACTTAATGGAGAATCAAGTGGCACCGGAATGGAAAATGAAATGGAACCTTTTTACTATGAATACATATATTTGCATGTTTTATTATAGAGACATCCCAGCGCAAACCAGCCGCGAAAGAGCATAGCGGGTTGCAAAATGGCGCGAGGCTAGGTCCCTTTCACACACTCTAAGCTGTGGGGCCATGGGCTTTTGACTGCGGAAGCACCCACACAGCATTATTCACGCCCTGACCTCATCATTCTGAATTGGCGTGAAATTGTTCGGTAAGCCCAAAAAACTGAGGATCTAAGAAGCTGAGAGCTTCCTGCCCGTGACCTTCCTAAACTTCCGGAAAAACCATGCAAAACCAAACAAAGAAAAACAAAAACGATAAAAAAAAACTAATGCGAATACATCATTCTCAAACACATGTACATATACATGTTCAAAGGGTATTCCAATGCTCCTCAAAAGCAAGACACGGATCGAGGAACAAATTCATAAAGAACTCTCTCCTTGCCTGTTCCCAGCGCCCCGCCGATGCGCAAGCGCTTAGAGCTGCACCGCGGACAATGCAGTTCCTGTGTCTGGTGCCATTGGGGTTTGAGGCTGCGGCTTTGAGGGTCGGCCAAGATTTGTCTGTGTCGGACTCCTCGCTTTGTTAAGCTTTCTAACACTTACGAAGACATGTCCAGATCTCACCACGGTGTACTATTTGGCTTTTGTTATTCGATTTCATTAACACAGAGATATGCAAAGAACTGCCACGGCGTCCATACTTTCTCGGCATCTCATGGCTAGTGTTGCCTTCAAGGCTGTGACATGCTACTGCTATGGCTATTGCATCAACAACCAGTCAAGCACAAAGACGCTTTTATGGTCCCTGTCGACCTACGTTTGATCACTTCCCGGCAGAATGCGTGTAAAGTTCATAATGGGTTTCTCCATTCACTTAGCGTACCCTTGCGACGCATTATTTTATGGGCAACGCCGGCTGCATTGCACAGGCACCTTCTGACCCTCCTCGGCCTACTACTGAGAAGTCCACCTTGCTCTGCCTTCACATTGGCATCTACCCGAATCTACCCAACTCACCATCTGTATGTAGCCACACGGCTTCTTCCCCAGGATGCTTGAGAAAGAGATCCTTGTTCCTCAAGCAAAATCACCAAAAATATCCAAACATGTTTTCTGGAGCCGCTGGCGTGAGCAAAGGCTCTACTGCGGTTCCTCGAGCCTTTACCACTTCCTTCCACTGCCAGACATCTGCACCCAGTTGTCAAATGGAACATCAACTTGGGAGGCGACGTTAGTGTTCTCTGCCGAGACACCCACAGCCTCCTATGAGTCCCACTATGTCACGATGTTAAACCTTTGTTAGTTACAGCCTTTCCGGAGACGGGAAGTGGAAAGTGATGCTTCCACCTCTCTGCCCGAGAAGCGGCTGCCAACCTTGTGAACGCGCGTCTTGCAATAGGCACCTTGCCAGGGTCACAAGCAAAACTCCTGGGCACCCTATGATAGGCAAGTGCAGAAGTTGCTGCTTTAAAGCTGGCTGTTTGCAGGTGTACCAGAAGACTTGCACATTATGTTCCTGGAAGCTCGTCTCTGCGATGCACCGCCCGTGAGCTTTTGAGGCTCGTGCAGGGCACGTTGCCATTCCCGGTCTCGTCCGCAGTCCTTTATGAGGCGGCTCAACACCTTGGTGAATCAGCCAAGCTTCGATTCCACTCCTGACTTCCTAGTCCTGGATAGTCCAGCATATGCGGAGCCCATTGCCAGACTGAGAAACAATGCCAAACAAGAAGCTTGTCGGTCAGCTATTTCCTCCAAGCTGGTCCGCGCACTCTAGTGCTGCATCTCAATGACTCAAGGATCCGAGGGAAGCCTCCCACCACCATTAGTCAAAAGTCACTGCCTGTCTGTGCAACAAGGTCCTTGAGCTAACAGAATTCGGCGAAAGAACGTTGCCCGAGCCGGCTGGTCGCCTGCCCTGAGCTACATAAGGGTCTTGAAGTGCGAGAGTGAAAGTCAGATATAACTTGATGTCTCCTTCTACCCAGTCTACAACAGTTCTGCCTTCATATCAACCACACAATTTCCAATGATCGACATGAGGGCAGGCATCTCCCACTTCCTTGGTGCACCGACGCATTGCAGAGGTGATACTTTCGTTGAGATGCAAGACTTCGGCATTTCAAGAGCATGACTTTGCCGTGAGTCTTCACTCCAAGGTCTTGGGCGCTAAGGCCGAGGTTCCTTTCTTTTGCTTGCTTTCTAGTTGTCAGGGCTTTCTCTTTTAATTGATTGTCTTCAACCGTCGGACAGAAAGGCAAGAAAACCCAGGCCCAGAAAGCGCAGGAGCCATGAGGGTGAGCCAGGATATTGAAGGTCTCCCCCTGTTCACGGGCCAGGCCTACAGCCGCCCTATCATGCAAAGGCATTCCTGAGCCGTGTCCCACGGCATGAGAGCCACAGGTCATAAATCTGTTGAGTCGTATGTATTGAAGGCGTGCAGTTCGCAGGCTTCTGCTAGCACACCTCTTTCAACCTGAATCATCCTAAAGAGCTCTTAGGGTCTTAGGGTCTCTCCATGTGGCTCGCTTTGATAAACTCGGATTTGCTGTTGGCCTTTCACTCCTGCTTAGCAGGCCAGGCGCGGAGGCCACAGTAAGGGAAAAAGAGACACCCAGGGTTCACGATGGGCTTGCCCGCTTACCCAAGGCACCCGCTAGGCTGTGGCCATGTCCTTCGTCACGACTTAGATTTTTCCAGGCTCCTCAGCACGCTTGAAGCCAATGCCATGACACCATCATACACCATCCCTATCGATCAGGCTGGTCAAAGCTGAGGCGCAGCGTCGAGTCAATAATCAATTCCAAGCTTGTCACACACACCCGTCATCATCTTGACGAGTAATGCCGTCTTTAACCTGACCTGCAGCACTTGGAAGCAGAGTGTTGCACGTGTGCCCGAGCTGAGGACTTGATACTTGAGTGGGCGAGCAGGATGCTTTTGCGGCTCCGACATCCTAGGCAGCATGCACGAAAGCCAAGGCGCAGCAATGATGTCCGTCTTTGAAGCAGGTCCACGGCATTTGAGCAGTCCGTCAACCATCTCCTTCCCAAGAAGTTGCCATGCACATGGGCATGAAGCCTGATGTTGCAACTGATAGGAAGTGGTAGCACAGAATTCTCCTCGAACTCCAGCTCTCCGCTCAAGTCGGCATCGAGCACGTCAAACAGGTCGGACTTGCATGACAGATCGATCCTTGCAGCGCAAAAACTGTGGCCAGGGTGCAACTGCGCAGTCATAGGCGAGCTGATTGGATACTTGCACGTGAAAATTGAAGTGTGGCGTGCAGAACGGTTTGAACTAAACTCCCGCCATCTGTTCTATGAACCTTGTTAAGTGTCCTTGTTCGATGTCTGATGCAAGTTACATCACTTGCAGTCGGGGCTCTCTGAGTCGTCCAAGGTTGCGATGAGCTCCTTCTCGGCTGCGAGCCAATGGTTGAACTCCTCCCGCGTCACCACCACGCTACCTAAGTTCTGGAAAGAGTACAGACCTCGAAGCAGGGATCTTACAACCACTGCAAGTCTATGCTCCTGTTGCCCGCTCAGTGGCTGCACAGCGCTTCACTTTGAGAGATACCTACTCTACTTACCTTTTTTGGAAGACATCGGGTTCGATGATGTTCGATGCTGTCTCTTTGACAACTTAGATATGAGCGTCGGGCAAAAGAAGTGAATCCGAATGGATCTAACCCAGTACGCGCCTAGAGGTTGAACCGCTGCGGCGCTGCTTCCAGTCTACTTTAACTTACTGGCTCTTTGTAGGGAATAGGGGAATATATCCATCCCTATATTACCCCGATAGAATGCATTCCCTTATTCCCTACTAAGAACCAGTAAGTGAATTTGTCTGCGGGATCTCATCTTTGGCTGCAGGCAGGCCGCGCCGCGCCATCTCCTTGCGAATTTCGTTGGTCAGCTGCTCGTACTCATGCACTGTGTGAGGCTTGTAGCCATACCTCAGCTCCATGGACCACAGCAAGCCCAACAAGAACCCTTAGCCTGTGTGCTGCAGAGTTCAGCAGCAGCATCCCCCAAAACACCCCTTCTAATATTCGCGAAGTTGATGGTGCGGAACCAGTGGCATCTCTTGAAGCGCCGCCACCTTCTCCTTCAGGATCTTCGATGGCCGACGACCATGAGAATGATAGTCATCATTCATCATCTGCAGGAGCACAATTGCATAGCAGCGCACATAGTCATCAAGCCAAGCACTCCTAAATGCAGCCTGTGAGTGCCATCATCCGGCTTACAAGAGCAGCAGATCAATTCTTCCGGTTGTTGCAAGCAGCTCAATCGGCCAGGATTGGCTGGATCTCATGCCGAGCATTGACCCCGACACCGTGGCATGGGCACATGATTCCAATCTGGAAAAACTGGCAACTACTAGCCGCTGACTAGCCGGACCAACACGCCCTAACAGCGATGAGGCCTCCTCTTCAGCTTCTTTTCGCAAAATCTTTGTCAAAATGATGTTCCCTTAGCCAGCTGAGATGATCCCACGGAGTGCAAAGGGGCTAAAACTTATCTGAGAAGCTCAGCACGGATGAGATAAGCCATTCGGTCTTGGGGGCATTCCTGAGTTGCTTCTGTCCGGTCAACAAATAAGGTAGTTTCCCTAGATAGGTGGACCCAATATAGACCCCAAAATGCTACAATTCTGATGACAGGGACCCTCAAAAAAGTACCCCTAATCTTGGGAAGCCCCCATAACTTCATCAAGGGCCAAACCTGTTAATTCGGTTCTCTTGTCGTTGCAGCAGGGGAGTGCAGCTGCAGCTTTGCAAAATTCAAGCATCGTAGTAAATGCAGAAGGCCACTCATGTTTAGTGCTGAAGCCCAAAATACCCTAAATCCAAAACCCACAAACCCGAAACCCTAATCCTAAGCCCCCAAACCGTAAACCCTAAACCCCCAAACCCAAAAATCTAAATCCTAAACCCCCAACCCAAAACCCTAAATCCTACCCCCAAACCCTAAACCCGCAAACCCAAAACCCTAAATCCT